ATTTTAAGCAAATTTTAAAGATATATTTGTAATTTATCTAAAAATATTTTATTAATACCTTATTTTTTGGATAAAACTTGGGACCCTAGGGCACCGATTCCTACCTATCATCCGGACATATCTTGCTCTCTTTTCTTTTTTCTTTTTTTTTTTGTACTTGTTGTACACTTTAAAATGCCTCAAAAAAATTTCTCATCTCTCTCTCTTTCTTTTATTTATTTATTTATTTATTTTTTTTTACTTTTTGTACACTTTTTTAAATGCCTCAATACCGTCCCGTTTCAAAATAGATTATTTTAATAATTTTTTAATTAAAATATAGAGTAAAAAAATTAGTATATTTAGAATGAATTTTTAATTTTTTATAAAAAGATATGTAAAATATAGAGAGAAAATGATTTTTTTGACTTTTTGATATAGATTATAGACTTTTTAATTTTTTTTTAGTAACTTTTTAACTTTTAAATTGAAACAGGCACATGCCAAACAAGGCCAAAGTCTTAAATTATTTATTTTACTCCAATAATTTTCAAAAATATTGATAAGTTTAAAAAGAAATGAAACTTAAATAAATAAGCTTAACCAATGAAACAAGTAGTTTTTTTTTTAAATATTCAAAAAAATGAAATTATTTATCAAAGTAACTCACTTTTTAAACTATTTATTAAACTAACTTACTTTTAAAAAAAATACAAATTCAAAATGCGATTTCATCATGAAATCATATGTTTAAAATGAGATTTTATGATGAAATCGCATTTTGAAAATATAATTTTACATTAACTTGACTTATTGATGTGTAAATGTGAGTCATGTCAATATAAAATCATATATTCAAGATATGATGTCACCACGAAATTGTATTTTAAATTTGCGATTTTAAAAGGGGATGAGTTTAATAAATAGTTTGCAAAGTTAATTATTTACATAAATAGTTTATTTTTTTGAAATATTCACACACACACACAAAAAAAAAAAAAAAAAAAACAAAAAAAAACAAAACTCACAAGACAAGTGTAAAGTCATTAGAGTATGAGTTTTATATTCATCCTGATATTGCCTCAAAGAATAATGAAATAGTAAGACAATGATATATCATTTTTTAAACTCGTTTTTAATAGTTTTTACATTTTTTTTAATCATCTTGACAATTATAAGAGAAGGAAGACAGGTTAAAAAAGTGTGAATGTTGTTATTCTTAAAAATTTTAAAATGAAATTGAGTTTAAAATGAAATGGAGAATTAAAAAATATATATTTTGAAGGGAACAATTGTTGGCTATATATTTTGTACAAGCCAATTACAATTAGACGCGTGGCAAAGTAAGGGTAGTACGGAAAGACTATTCAAATCTTCGATCTTAATCATACACGTGTCAGTTAATATTGGTTGTTACGAGATCTGAGTAGCAGCGGATTAGCAGAGAGATACAAAGTGATGTGGCATCGTCGGTTACTCACATTTGAATTCAAATTCAGGAGGGAAGCCTAACTGCAAGTGATGGCGTAATGGAGCTAATCTTGAGGCAACATGATCAGCGATCATGGAGGAGCAGTTCGACGGTTGGAAATACAGTTCGATGGTCATCCTTAAGTAGTATAAATAGCAGAAAAGGCCTCAGAAAAAGCCCTCTAGACTTAGATCCAGAAAACCAGTCTTATTCTACTTTACTTAGTTTTACACGTCCTGTTCTTTACATTCTAGTACTTTAAATTCTGCATTGCACTTCATTCATAGGAGTAGTTTCAAGTAGATTGTCGCTGTAAATCTCTACAAGGCTGAGTTTGAATCATTGTAAGTTTTTTCATTCTAATGAAATGCTTCAGTTGTTCTTTATTTGATTGATATTTTGTTTGATTCTCCTAAATCAAGCCACCGGTAAAAGTCCTCTTCATTGAGGCTGAGAGAACTAAAACACAATCGTCTGATAATTGGTTGGCAATTAAATTTCTGTAAGGACTGATTGATCCTTGCTGGCACGCTTGCAATTACAATAATAACCTTCGAAAGCCAAAAAGCCAACATATATTTTTGGCACGCCCGGTGGGACTGAATTGAAATGGCTAGACGTAGGAGACAAGGAGAAAATGAACGCTTGGAAGAAGGCGTGGAAGGAGAGGTAGAGATACCTAATCTAGAGGATAAAGTGATAACACATCCTGTGGAAACTCTCATTTTATTAGAACCTATGGTCGAACAGACCAGTACTTCAGAACAAATACCACATGTTCGTAATATTGGACGAGACCAAGGAATTGGACCATCCATTGTCCCATCTACTCAGCCAATGAATCCATGTGGTGGCTTAATAGATGCAATGGGACAGCAATTAATGAACACAATGGAAAGGTGGGCAACATCCTTTTTGGATCGAATGAATAACCACCAACTAACAAACGTAAGACACATGGAGAAAATTTCGAATGTCCCTCAGCAAAGATTGGCTAGAGATAAACAGCCTATGCAAGTTAATGGACATTCTAATGGTCAAACCAGTAATCAGAACTATGAAAGACCATCACCTTAGTCTTGGTACGAACCTGTTCCGAGGCCTGTAGTAGGTCAAAATGTCTCAGTACTTAACAGTGAAGCCATGCAATTTGGTGGAACTGGCCCAGTACAAGAAAATGGCGTACGAATGGTTCCAAATCCCATGTTTGAAGCCATACCTGGCGCAAGGGGGTTCACTAATCCCTTATTCGAATTTATGCCCAGGGGGTTAGAAGGTTTTCCTTCAAATGGAAGAGACACAACACCAGTTCCAGCACCTTTCACAGGTCCTTTGGTAGGACAAATTCAAAGGGGTTACCCACACCCCCAACAGCAACCTGCACCATAGGGACAACCAATCCCAAACATGCCACCTTATGGACCAAGAGGACCACAGACACAAGTTTTTTCACCAAATCCTGAGGGATAATAATCATATGTGTTGGGACTTTTCAAGAAATTCATATGTGTTGG